TTGTGTTAATTTTGTTAGATCTTCTTTTTTTGTGTACTTTTTTCTTGTTTGGTGTGACCAAGGGATGAGTAATAAGCGATACTTTATTATTATTTGGGTTGCGGTCATCTGATCCATTTGGTTAGCACTGGAAATGTGTGGTTTTTTAATCAAGACGTTGTGGATAGAATTGCTTGACTATATTAGTTTGCATTCTTGGAAGTTGATATCTTCAAGTGGTATGAAAATATCTTTTAGTCTTGTAAACTCGACATAATAATCCTTTGATCTGTTTTGTTTAGTGTGGTATTTCGTGTTTGGGTTCTAAATATTCGTTATACTTAGTTTAATTGATTTTATTTACTTATAATTTTTTTTTAAATTAAATTTTATAATTTTGTTTTATGTATAAATTTCTCAATTTTATCATTTAAACTCACAGTTATGCGAACATTCCAAATATATATATATATATATATATATATATATATATATATATATATATATATATATATATATATATATATATATATATATATACCAGTAAGTAAGTAAACAGTGTTAGTTATCAAAGGAAGGTTAGTCATCCAAGCTTGGACGTCGGCATGACTTGAAGGCAAAAAATCACAAACCATCTTTTTTTAATAATATTTAAAAATAATTAATAGATGATTTCTCACTTTATTTATTCATATAGATATATTTATTTTGTAAGGTAAGAATTCGATTATAAGAAACTAGAATTCTAACTAAAAATTTGTTATGTGGAATCAAAATTGCAGTCACAATTCAGTTTTGGAGGAATCGAATTCTTAATTGTATTTTGATTTTTTTTCAGGTTATTTTTTAATTATATTTATATATTTATTGATATAATTAAATATTATTATATTTATATATGATAATAATTTAATAATTATAGTTTTTAATATTTATATATTTATATTGTTGTATATATATATAGATAATTATATATATATAGTTAAATATTAATATATGAATATATTTACATATTTATATTAATATATTTTTATATATTTATATATATGTATATATATATATATATATATAATTAAATATTTATATATGTAAATATTTATATATTAACATTTATTTAATACTTATATATTTATATATTTTAATTATTTATATATTTAAATATTGATATAATTGTATTTTTTATATATTTGTATATTTAAATTTTAATATATATGCATATTTATATTTATAATATATATATATATATATATATATAATTTGATAAGTATTATTTATATAATTAGATATTTATATATTAACATATGCTAATATTTTATATTTGTATATTTGGATAAATATATTAAAATTATTTGATTTGTTATGGTTAAATGATATTAAAAAATATAAATAAATAATACATTATACATGAAATATATTAATTTTGTGAATGAGTAATGTTAGGTCACGTTCTTTTGGTGTGATCAGTTATTTAGTAAAATTATCAAAGTTTGGGACGAGATTAACTTTCTGTGATGTTCATTTCTATTCTTATTTGACTTGACTTTGGACGACCTTTTACAGTTCTCTTCGTTTCTGGATCTGGCCTCAAAATTGGTCCCATATAAGATGACCAATAATCTTCATTCCTTAATTTTTTGAACAATCTGTCATAGACCTTACCGACTTGTGCTAAAGTATAAATATGATTTATGTAGTTGATAAAATCATGATATGTGTTTACAAGCAGCAATTACAGGCTAACACGGTAAATTGAGTTTTTGGAATTTACCACAGTCATACCATGATTCGTCTAGCCTTGCTATAAATCGGCCTATTGGTTTGACTTCTCTTATATTAAAAATTTCCTTTACCATAAATCTTGTATTCATTTGGTCAAACTCAATCACTTTGTAGTATTTGTGCCTTTGAATATGCATTGTCCAAAGCCTTGGCTCCACTTCAGCATACATGTGTTCAACGATAATCATGACTACTACTTCTCTATCTCTTTCGATGGAGAACCTATTGCAATTTATATAAGTTACTGTCACCAAGGAGGAAATAAGAAGATTCTTTATCTTTTAGAGGATCGAATTGATTGATTCTGTCAAGTTGGTAGTCATGTGTCTCCAACGTCGACCACATTATCCCAAATTAGTGTCTTTTTCTCCCTTAGGATTTCATCCAACCATTATTTACTATGTTATAATATTAGAAGAATCTGGGCTCAATCATTTCATACGTTATTTATAAAAAATTAAAATAATCACTTAGTTGGTACTTGAGTTAATTAAAAAATAGTGAAAATAATAAGTTTAAAAATTAATAGAAGTTACCCATGTCGACAACATCCTTCTTAAGTGGATTTTTCTTAAATCTCCTTGTGAAATTTTGTGCAATTGTGTTGAACACAGTATACATGCATAAAATTGTTTTCGGTCTGTCACAATCAAAATCGCGACTGGACGACAGAATTAGGTTTCTAACTAAAAGAAAAAATAATAGAGTCACCACCAATATTTATTTTAAGGAAAAATATAGGAAAAAAAACTTCCAAAAAGAAAAGAAAGTGGTCTACGAAATAAAGGTTGAGTTCGAGAGTTGATTATGTGTAAGGAAGATATTAACACCTTACAATATCCATTTTAAAAACGATTACCTTTAATTAGACATAAAAAATTAAATATTTTAAAATTATTTATTTTATCCCTCAAACTTATATCGATTAAATATTGCTACTAAAAATAAAAGATTATATATTTTTATATTTTTTTCTCGACAGAGATCATCTCCATGCTCTTACGTATCCTCGTGTGCAATGGAGAATCAGAATAACATAGTTCTTTCATACCAATATTTATGAATAATTTATTTTTATTTATCTATTTATGTTGTTAAGTTAAATGTATACCAAAAATTATGTAATAATCAAATTAGAAGTACATCTAAAGTGATTATCATTTTTATAATTTGAATAATAATTAAATCCAAAATGCATCCAAAGTAATTTAAATTTTTAAATCATTGTACTTGTAATTTCTATTTAGATTTAATATATATATATATATATATATATTAAATATTTTATTATAACAAAGTTAAAAATACATTTGAAGTAATTATTATTATTATTTTATATCAACTCAATTAAATGTGCATCCAAAGTGATTAAACCTTTATGAAATATTTTCTTACTACTCTAATAACAATAATATTGCATGTTTAATAGTATCCGAGAAAAGAAAATGATAATTAAATTTAATTGTCAATATACTAATAATGATATACTAATTTAAACTATTTAAAAAAAAGAAAAAAAATTAAAATTATCTTTATTCAAAATTCAGATAAATTAATAGTAATTATAATAATAAATTTTTTGACTTATTAGTATTTGGACATTATTTTTGTTATGTTGTTTAGTTAAAAAAAAAATATTAAACCTATTAACTCGTAAAAATCTTTCATATTACTATTTGAAATCTTTATTGATATTTTCACGTCCTTAAATTTGGACAGCGCATTCTCACGCGAACGATGACAGAGGAGTGAGGGACACGAGGTGTGGCTAACAGTAAAGTTCGGTGCGGTGGTTCTCATAATTGCGGAGGAGGCGCGATGCTAGTGAAGGTGGTATACTGGTGAGGATGATGGGCAAGAGGAGAGGAGGTGGGTCAACTTCCCTACACAGTGGTTTTGTGGCATCTTGGCTCACCGATAGGGCTAAGGATGGTGGCGATTTGGGGGTCTGAGGTTATGGCTAGTCGAGTGTCAAGAAGGCGCAATGGATCCGTGGTGGGGATTGCGGTAGCCACTAGTGGGGACGCGCTGGCTGCCGGTGATGGCTGGAGGTGGTTGCGGCGCAAGACCTAAGGTTTGGGATGAATGGGAGAGGATAAGTAAATGAGATGGAGAAGGGAATCAAAGTGGTGTTGGTTGTGCGGGCTTAAGGCTGGTGCTCTGTGGTGGCCATGGTGAGTGGATGGAGGCTGAAGGTGGTGATGCAACGTTGGGGTGGGGTGGGGTCGTAGTGGCTAACGGCGGTGGAAAAATGGTTAAGGAAGGGAAAACAAGTATTGGTTGGGAAATTGGTTCCCCGGTGAGGGTGATGGTGGTGTGCAGTGATTTTGGGAGACTCGATTTAAGACATGATTGAAATTTGGTGGTGCGGTGGACTCACCATGGAGGTCACTAGTAATATGTTTAGGTATACAACAAATACTTAATTTGGTTACAATTGGGAATTGAGAACAGGATCTACAAATTGGTTGGTAACCTGTTGATGGCTGTCTCTGTTGTTTTGAGTTTCTGTTTTGACTTTTTAGTTGCTGTTTTGACTGAGAAGTGAACTTGGGTTTTTCGAGATGTTGAGTTGTTGTATGGTTGTGGTTGTATTGACTGAGGGTTTGTTTGTAATGGTGGGTGCGTGATGATGGTGGGTGTTTTTGTTTGTTTTCTTGATTACCCCTTCTCTTTTTCACAATTTATATAGAACTTCATTTCTATGCATGTAGGAAGAGGCTACAGGAGGTTCTAGGATTATCATAATGAAACATAATTAAAGAAGTGAATATCAGGGATCCAACATTAGGATTATAAGTATAATTGTGATTTGGATGGATGGACGCAGAAATATATGCAAATATAAATAAAATTGTGATTTAAAAAGTTGAAAATTTAAAAATGGATCTAATATTACTATTAAAATATGTAAATATAAGTAAAATTGTGATTTGGATGGACTCAGGAATATATGTAAATATAAAAATATAAATAAAATTGTGATTTAAAAAAATTAAAAACGAACTTAAGATCTAATATTACGATTAAAATATACAAATATAAATAAAATTATAATTTGAATGGACTTGGGATATATGCAAATATAAAATTGTGATTTGAAAATAATGTACTCACGGTTTCTGGTCTCGCATTCTTGTTTCTCATCAAGACTGTTAAAGAAAACGTTGTTCAGCAAAGGGTTTACTCACCACCTTTTTGATCTTCCATTTTTCACGGCTACCTCGTTCTTCCATTCACCAATGGCCATTCCAACTACGGTCACCGCTGCGCCGGATTTGCTTTACATTTTGATAGGCCGTGCTTTACATTCTTTAATCAAGATTTCAAGGCGGTGATGTCGAATTCGATGAGTAAGGTTGATCCCTCTGCCAATGGCGGCAGCGGCTTCCGGCAGTCGCTGTTGGAATTGTTTATCCTGAATTCTCATTCTTCCACAAGACGATTCGGAAAGAGCTCACGCTGCACCGATTGGTGATGATAATCGCCACCAAAAACTGCTCCGACATCCAGCGCAACCATTTCCTCATATTGATGCACAAAAACAACTCCAATGATGAAGATGAGGAGCAAGTTTTAGAACCCTTATTCTCGGCAAGACGGTATTTCTTTCTTTCTTTCTCTAAGATTTATATATAGTAACATTGACGATTAACAATTTCTTAGATAGATTGAAGTGTTGCATTTTCTTTTCATCGAATATTAAGTTGTTTGTTGTCGTTGGCCCCGTGCTTTATTTGGTTGGAACTGATTTGACAACCTTGTCTAATAGATCCTTTCACCAAGTCATCACCAGTTGGTGTGGTGTCAAAGGGCGAGTTTCTTTCTTGTCTTGCCGAAAAAAAAAACTTGCTTTGCATTCTCCTTAGAGAAAGACTCTCCCGCGGCAAGGCGGTGTTGTCAAATTCGGTGAGTAAGGTTGATCCCTCTGCCAATGGCGGCAATAGTTTCCATCAGTCGCTGTTAGAATTGTCGATTATGATATTTTCGTTCTTCCACCAAACGATTCGCCATCAAAAACTGCTCCGACGTACAACCCTCATCCAAAGCTACCATTTCCTCATATCGATGTACAAACACCACTTCAATGATGAGGATGAGGTGCAAGTTTCAGAACCCTTATTATTCCTATAATTTTTTGCTCATAATTTTATTATTCTTTTATTCTTGTTCGATTGTGAGTTTGTTTCTGTGAGGAATAAATGATACAGAAAATGATGGTTGATGTTTGATAAATTGGGTCTATTGTTCATTTTGTTTAGCTAAATTTTCATTGTGTTTGTGTGTATATGTTTGTATCTTTATGTTTATGTTTTTTGTGTTTGTATTTTTTTATTTGTGTTTACGTTGTTGGTGGGGTGGAGTATAACTGGAGAGATAATATAATATCAATTACAGTTATTAAATTATTATAATTATTTTTAAAATTTAAAATAAATGATGGGAATAGACGTAGAGAGGTAACATAACATCAATTAAAGTTATTAAATTATTATAATTATTTCTAAAATTTAAAATAATTGGTGGGATGTGGGTCGACACATCATAACCCAACTTAAAACAGCTTCACATGTGGGTTAAGTAAGTTGAGTTCATTTTTAATCCATTATCAATAAAATTGAAAAAAATCGAAACTAACCTGGCTCAAACTAGTGATGAGTCAGGTTGCCTCATGAGTTATAACTCATATTAACAACTCTACACACATACGTCATAGTAATTATTGTGTTTGCCGCACCACTGTGTTTCAGTTGCGTCACAATATTTATCACGTTTCAATCATGTCATAGATAGGAGTGTTAAAGTGAGCCAATCTGACTCACACGGGTTGACTCACTATTGGTTGAGAAGAAAATAAACGAGCTCAACCCGACTCACTTTATAGCGAGCCAAAGATTTCACAACCCGCCTCATTGGTGGGTTGATTCACTAACCCACATTTAGTTTTTGTTATTCAAATTTTCTTTTTCTAATAAGCATGAATGAATTGCAAGACTGAAACAATATAGCACGGGCAAGACAAACACTTGAAATGTGGCAAACATTATGGAACAACTAAAGCACGGTGGTGCAACAAATGCAATGGTGCGACAAACATAGTGACGTGTCAAACACTATGGGGTGGCCTAAACGCGAGATTGAAACACTGTAGCGCTGTAGCACGACAAACATTGTGACATGACTATAACGTGAGACTGAAACGCAACAAACATTTTCATGCCACTCAAACATGATGATGCGGAAAACATAATAAATATGATGGCGAAGTGTTACGACAAAAGGATGGCAAGTGGTCAAGCTACAATGACAAATGCAATGGTGCGATGAACAATTGATGATAAGCTTGAATGAGGGTTTAATTTGTAACGACGACGTAGAATATTGGTGGAGAGGCATAAAAATATCAATTAATGTGTTTATGTTTGTCTTATACAGATGCACATGTACATCCTATTGCAAGCATAATCCTATTCCACCAATTCTTATTAATGTGTCTATACTTCCACTGTAATCATATTGTGTTTGTGTTTGACTTATGCAAGTGTACATGTACTTCCTATTGTAGGTATGACCCTATTCTACCAATTCTTATTAATGTGTCTATATTTCCATTATCATCTTGTTGTATTTGTGTTTGTGTTTGTCTTATGTAGGTGAACGTGTATATCCTAATGCAGGTATGATCCTATTCCACCAACACTGATTAATGTATATATACTTCCACTATCATCCTATTGTGTTTGTGTTTGAGTTTGTGTTTGGTTTTATATTTGGGTTTATGTTTGACTTATGCAGGTGCATATATATGTCCAATTCAGGTATGATCCTATTGTTGAACATTCAAAGACTTGATGTTGCACTTGATGAACATGAAGATTGTTGATTTTGATGATGATTCAAGAACACAAAGACTTAGAATGTTGAAGACTTGTTTTGTATTGTAATAACTCTGTTTCAATTAGATTGAGTTTGTAATATTAGAGTTTAAGATATCCGGTACATAGTCTGCACCTTAGAAGCTTCAAAAAGCTCAAATTTATCATCCAGGCTCGGCTTTAATCGATTAAATAGGGAAATAATCAATTAAAACAGTGAGAAAAATAATTTTCTGTAACAACTCACTGGTTTAATCGATTAAACCAACTTTTAATCGATTATCAAGCGGTTTAATCGATTAAACCACCTTTTAATCGATTAAAACAGAGAGGTTTGGGTTTTGTTGATATTTGGCTCTGTTTTAATCGATTAACACTTCATTTAATCGATTATTTCAGTCAGATTTTGATTTATAACTTCAAATCAAACCTATTTTCGAAAACCATATTTTCAAGAACCCTAGTTTCGAAATCCCCAATTCCTAAACCCTAATTTCTCTACTTAAACTCTTCTATGGCACTCAGAAAAGAAGAACAACCTTTTTCATACAAAAGTTAAGTGCTGTGAGTGCCAGAGAACTGTTTGTTGCAAGAAAAAGGGGCTTTCGGAACCTAGTGTGGGCTAGAAGCGTTAAGAATCACTAAGTGGAGTTCTTAGTGGATTGTGTGCTGTGTCGTCTCTAGGGAAAACTGTTCATCATCTCTTGTGGATTTCAAGAGAGGTGTTTTCTTATCTTTATCTTTTCAATTGTAATATGTTTGTAACAACTTGATTATAGTGACAGCGTTAATCCTCTGTTTGAGTGATTAGCAACTGGACGTAGGGTCTTTTGATCCGAACCAGTATAAATCTCCTATGTAAGATTCTCTTCTCTTCTCTATTTACATTTACACAGTTTTTAATCGGTAAAATTTGGGGAAAATTTTGAAAACCTAATTTTTGTTAAGAAACCAATTCACCCCCTCTCTTGGTTTTTGTCCGACCACGCGATCATTCCGCTGCGCGATTCTAACAAGTGGTATCAGAGCTTGCTTTGATAGTCATTCAAATTTTCAAAAATGGCCGAACAAAATCAAACTTTTGCCGAAGGTGCGTCTATCAACAGACCCCCACTTTTTGCGGGTCAAAATTATCCTTTCTGGAAGGTACGTATGCAAATATTTTTAGAGTCTGTTGATAGAGGCGTTTGGGATGCTATTTTAAATGGTCCATTTGTTCCTAAAATTACTGAGAACGGTGTTGACGTTCTTAAACCTTTTTCTAGATGGACTGCAGAAGAAAATAGGAAAGCCCAATTTGACGTTAGGGCTAGAAATATTATTTCATCTGTTCTAACCCTTGACGAGTTTTATAGAATTTCTGTTTGTAAAAGTGCACAGGAAATGTGGGAAATGCTTAGAGTGACCCACGAAGGAACTGACGACGTTAAAAGAGCACGTAAAAATTCTCTAATCCAAGAATACGAGATGTTCCGGATGCAACAAGGCGAAACGATCTTTGACGTACAAAAGCGTTTCACTCATATCGTGAACCATCTCACTGGACTAGGTAAAATTTTTGACGTTGATGAATTAAATGTTAAAATTTTGAAATCTTTGGATAGGAAATGACAACCTAAGGTGATGACCATCTTGGAGTCACAAAATCTTGCCACTATGTCTATGGCGGCGCTCTTTGGAAAACTTAGAGAACATGAGTTAGAGCTTGGAAGGTTAAACAAAGATGAAGGCCAATATCAAAAGAAGAACCTAGCCTTTAAAACCGAAATTTCCAAAGGTAAAAATAAAAAGGAAGAAGAAGAAGATTCGGAAAATGAAGAAGAAGAGCTGAGTCTTATGGTAAAGAAGTTCACCAAATTCATGAAAGCAAAAGGAAGACATCCCTTCAAAGGTAAAGGAAAGGTAAGGGAAAATTCTTCCGTAAATATAAAATGCTATGGTTGTGGTGAAGCAGGACATGTAAAGACCGAATGTCCAAATAAGAAGAACGATGAAGTTAAAGGCAGAAAGCACTTCAAGAAGAAAGCCTACATTGCTTGGGACAACAGTGACTCAAGTTCGGAATCAAGTGACTCAGAAATAGAAGCAAACATTTGCTTAATGGCAAATGACAACATATCATCCGATTTTGAGGTAAGTGATTCCGACACATCTTCTAGTGATGAGGATAATAACTATGATGAATTGCAAAATGCTTATAATGAATTGTTTAGTGCTTTTAAGAACTTGAAGAATGAATATAAAGTTGTAAAGAAGAATTTAAGTAGATCCGAAAAGGAAATTGACTCTTTAAAAATGAAAATTACATGTTTAGAAGAAAAAGAGGTATTAGACACGAAAATTGTATGTTTAGATGAGGATAAGAATTTAGCATGTGAAACTTGTAAAGAGCATGAATATGACATAGATATCCTTAATCATCTACTTGATAAAGCCGAAATGGAAATAAGTGATCTTAAGAAGGATAAAACTGTTTTTGCTCAAAATAATGTAAATCATCAAGTTTCTTTGAAAAAGCCTAAAAGTAAAAATAGAAGAGTATGGGTTGAAAAAGGAACCAAAACTTCAATAGTTAGAAATGTATCATATTCTAAAATTACATCTAATGCATGCTTTTATTGTATGAAACATGGTCATACTTCAAATAGATGTAAAATCAAACATTTTGGTGTTCCTAAAGGAAAATATATTTGGGTTCCTATAGTTAAATGAATTATTTGTCTCTTGTATTTATTCAAAGAAAATTGATCATTTAGTATGTTTTGAATAGGATGATCATTAGGTCAATTATAAAATCAACTCCCTATGAATTGTTTAATGGTAGAAAGCCTAATGTTGCTCATTTGAAAAATCTTTGGATGTAAGTGTTTTGTGTTGAATAATGGAAAGGACAACTTAGGAAAATTTGATTCTAAAGCCGATGAGGGCATTTTCTTAGGTTATTCATTAACTAGTAAGGCTTACAGGGTGTTCAATAGACGAACTTTAAATATAGAAGAATCTATACATGTTACTTTTGATGAGATTGTAGACCTTGGGGGAAATCCTCTTGAGTCAAATAAAGAACTTGCAGGTGATGATGAATA